ACTAAAGCATTCTCTCCACTACAGATACTTTCCCGTAGCTTTCCAGATTTGCTAAACATCACAAAAACATTCCCAGGTCTACAAATAGTTTCCCATTCGTTTCCAGATCTGCTAATCCTCACCAAAGTTGCCTCAAGACTGCAAAGATTCCCCCGTTGTTATTCCTGTGCAAGTATAGAAGAAATGCTGTAATTCCCCTCAATTAAAGGCAAAAAATTATAGAAATTTACTGACTAGAGTAGTTTGAAAGACTAATCTCCTCCAGTATAGTTTTTATTCCAAAAGGCAAAAACAAGAAAATTTACTATAATTTTCTGCAAATATAAGGGTAAAATTCAACCAAAGTTTGTCTAACTATTTCTTTAATGTGTGCAATGACCAAAATTACAAAATATATACCATCATGGGCATAACAACTACTGAAAATACACTAAATCAACTAAAAAATGTGAACCTAATATGTGAGATGAACGACCTTCAGTTTTATTCGTCTACATGCTCGCTTTTGGATTATTGTATGCTCTCAAATGCCTCTAATTCATCATTTCTTTGCCTATATAAAAAAATGGAACACAATTATTATAGATTCTGTTAATAACTGGAATGAAATGTTTTGGTAGCCAATTATAAGAAGTAGGTAATACCACATACAAGGTGTGTGAAACTAACAGTTGCTCATTGTTATTGAAAAAAACAATGATTTGGATATTAAATACAACAAGTACTTTTTACTATCATTACATAGAATAAAAAACCCTTCAGTTCCAGTTCGGATATCAAAAAAACAAATCAGTTAAATTACTTAAGCAAAGCATTCATTTAATTTTATAGTTCAGACAAAAGATTATATTTAAAACTTAGACAATTTCATATAGCTCAGTCCAAAATTTTTTTTCAAAACTTCTGTTTCAGCAAAAAAGAATATACAAGCTAATGAGGCAGATTACCAAGTCAACTATTCTAGGCATCAAAAGGAAATCACAGGAAGAAAATAAAGGTATTTTTGAAACTTATCTTTTTTAGACTTGCAAATCCCGCTAAGCTGAATTCAAAAGTCTGATTTGCTACTTTGTATCTGCTATAGATTGCCTCTCATTACTCCAAAGTATTGTCCTCTCAGTGTATATGAAAAAAAAAATTGAACCAGTTAACCAAGTTGTATGTTTAATACTACAATTACATGTTTTACAAAATGTATAGCAGATAGTAATAGTTCTATAGATTAACAGTAAAACGAAATAGTCATAGTTCTATAGATTAACAGTAAAACGAAATCAACTTATAACCACAACTTATATGAATCATTCAATTCTGGAATTAAAGTGCCAGATATCATATAAGTTTATTAGACAAGATCAATGTTCATGCATAGTCGAAAATAAACTAAAAACGAAAAAACCCTAACTACAATTTTGAAAATAGAACTTTCATCCTAACCTTGAATGAGATCAGTATCTTCAGTCTAGGCAGATTTCAAGCTCAAATCAAGCTTGATTTCACAAATCGAACCCAGAAAAGACAGATTTCAGACGATATAGGCATAGACGATTATCGCGATCTAGACGTGATTTGATAACAAATATACAAATTGTCTGGCCGTGAAGAGATGAAGGCAAAAAGAATCATAGTAGGATGATCTAGGTAGAGTATTGACAGAGAGATCGTGAAATTTGGGAAGAGATTTCGAGCTGCCCTGATCTGTTCGGACAGAGAGAGTAGAAGCGGTCAACGCTTCTCTTCATCTCTTATCTCTTCTCAATTATTCCGAAATAGTAAATAATATATATATATATATTATTTTTTTATGTTGTAATTTTCAGCAATTTATTTCATAAGGTTATGTTGTTTTATAAAAATTACAAATTTATGTTCTAAAATATTAAATTAACTTATGTTATGTGTATTTAATTTATAAAATAGATATTTATGATATATACTATTTAATTATATATTTAAACGTGGTTCACACTAAATTGTGGTCCAAGGTACACAATAGTTTTTGGTCCATGGACCACCATGTAATTTGCCTTTTAATGTGTCTTACTGACACTAATTACATGAATATGTTGTATTGTCTTACAAGTGTAAGTGCGTTATGTGTACCAAAATGTGAATAAATTTTGTAATACGATATTTTATTTTTTATGATAATGTTACTCATTGTCCACACAAATTTGTCCAGGATGATCCACTGCATAAATTTTAATATAATTTATGCCTTATAATTTTTGCCTTTTCAATTATAAAATTGTGTACACAAAAATTGAAATTAATTATGTGATGTGTAATTAATTGGCAAACTTTCGAATTTTGTTAACTTATTATGTTATGTGTACTTAATTTATAAATTTGCTACTTATGTTATTTTAATACAATGAATACTACACATTATCAGTAAATTGATGGAACAACAAATATTTTGTCTTTTAATTTGAACGTGATTTATATCATTTACAAGTTTATGTGGTTTAATTTCAATTTTATTATGTTATGTGATGTGATATGAATTTACGTAATGTCATAATTTTTATTTTTATAATTTGTTATTCTATTTCACAGAGAATACTTGCGCGACTTCATCAGCAACAAGTAATGATTCGCATAATGTAGAGCAACCTACACCATTGCGCCGAACACATCCTTCCATTGCTTAGTGTTTGACTGAAAATATCACACCATTGAGTAACATCACAAACGGTAAATCATCTACAATTGAGTGATATACATTATTTGTGAATGTACATATCCTGTTTATTATATTATGATCAAATATTATTGTCAAATTTTTTGGTTGTATTAATATTATATAAGGCATATTAATGTTTATGAATTACATATGATTACAGTAGGTTCTTCCCGAACACACGTAATTTCTTCCAACCGGAAAGGAATTGTTTTTGAAGTGAAACAAAACACAATATCCAATGTACCTGAGTCATGCTTAACTGGTAACGTCGTAGACTAATATGTTATATAATCTTAAAACATTTAAAAGATAGGTATATTTGTTAATTTGAATATTGTATTAAATTTAGGTTGTAGATCACCACGTCAAGTTCATATTGGTAAAACAATACATGGTTCGGCAATTGAAGAAGGACATGTAATTCAAAGAGATTTGCTATCAGCCTTTGAAGAGGAGTCTGTCCCTTTACGTCTACAAATTCGCAATGACGTCATACCAGGTAACATTACTAACCAAATATGTTTTTAACAAATTATACTAAACTCAAATTGAACGCTGTCATTCAGTTCATATTCATTTATAGTAATGTTTATATATTCAGATTTAAACATTCCGATTGACGATGAGGAATCTATCCCTTTACGCAGTCCAATGCCAAACCCGTGCATACCAGGTACTCTTACGACCTGTATCTTTTCGTAACGAACGCTACCATAGTCAAATTTAACACTTGCACATTTCATTAGTTAATTAAATTTTTTTCGTTCGTATACAGATTTAAACATAACAATTGACGATGAAACGCATAACTTCGATACCGGAACATCCTCTGTTCATGCAAATGGTATTTTTGTTCGTATACATATTAAAACATAGCGATGCATGTACACTTTCTTTGGAAGAATATTTAAACAATAATTTGTTTGCAGAAGAGTATTATGATTTCGGTGATGCAAGCAATAGTTGTGTCCATTGTGGGGCGTTGTTTTGGGTCGAGGAAAGGAAGAAAAACTATTCCTCTAAAGGTCCACCGATGTTTCCATTATGCTGCAACAATGGCAAGATTAAGTTACATGAGAATGCGTTGCCACCTAAAGGTATATTTGACCTATTTTTTGGCAATGATGAATTATCAAAAAAATTCCTCCAGGACATCAGAACATACAACGCCATGTTTTGCTTCACATCAATGGGCGGAAAGATAGACAAGAGCTTGAACAAGGGCGGAGCACCACCTGTGTTCAGGTTAAGTGGTCAAAACTATCACTTAATGGGCAGTCTCCTACCAGAAGACGGAAAAGAACCACATTTTGCTCAGTTGTACATATACGATACGGCAAATGAAAAGAACAACCGTATAAAGGCTGTGAGGTAAGCATAGAACTTTTTTTCCAATTAAAATGTGATATTTTATCTATCAGCTTAGCAATGCATTGATGCGTGATTGTAGGGGTAGAGTTGATCAAGATGACATTCACGTAGAAATAGTGAATGTCATTCAGAATGAGTTGGATCAAAATAATGTTTTGGTTCAGTCTTTTCGGATGGCTAGATCTGAGCTTGAAAGTAACCCATGCGCTGAAGTCAAAATAAAGTTATTAGGGAAACGCACTAAAGATGCAAGGACATACAACCTGCCTCAAGTGTCTGAAGTAGCAGCGTTAATAGTTGGAGATCTGGATACCAGTATTGGTGAGCATGATATTGTTGTTCAAGCTAAAGGTGGGCAATTGCAAAGAATTAGTGAATTAAATCCTTCATACCTCCCACTGCAATACCCCCTGTTGTTTCCATATGGTGAAGATGGATATCGGGAAGGCATTGCATTCTCTAACGTACATAGCAGTCGTTCAGCCGGTGGTCGACATAGGATTAGTCCCAGGGAGTATTTCTGCTATCGGTTACAGACAAGAAATTCTATTACCAGTACGTTGCTATTTGCAAAGCGCCTGTTACAACAGTTTGTGGTAGATGCATACACGATGGTGGAGTCTGGAAGACTCATTTATAGCAGGACACATCAAAAAAGCTTAAGATGTGAATCATACAGTGGATTGACTGATGCTTTAACCAGGGGTGAAGTAAACCCTGCAGCACAAGGTCGAAGAATAATACTACCCTCAAGTTTCACAGGTGGTGCTCGGTACATGATACAAAACTACCAAGATGCCATGGCAATATGTAGATGGATTGGTTATCCGGATCTATTTATAACATTTACTGCAATCCAAAGTGGCCTGAGGTACAACGTTTTCTAAAAGATCGCAGGTTGAAAGCCGAAGACCGACCTGACATAATCTGCCGTTTGTTCAAGATGAAGTTGGATTCTTTGATTGCTGATTGTCGAAAGAATAAACTTTTTGGCTCTGTGGCTGGAGGTAATATTTTAGTTTAAGTTCACATTCATGTGTTTACAATTAAGAAAAATTACCATACGTTGATTTTTTTTTTTGTTTCTGTTACAGTTATATATACAATTGAGTTCCAAAAGCGGGGTCTCCCTCATGCTCATATATTGATTTTTTTGGGAAAGAATCAAGACGTTAGTGATGTTGTTACGCTAGATAAGATAATTTCTGCAGAGATACCAGATGAAAAGACAGATGTGCAATATTACAAAGCGGTGGAGGAATTTATGATGCATGGGCCATGTGGAAAAGCAAGGACAAATTCTCCATGTATGGTAAATGCACGATGCTCGAAACATTTTCCTAAGAGATTTGTTGAGAGTTCTACATTTGATGCTGATGGGTACCCGGTATATAGAAGGAGAGACAACGGCAATATAGTTACAAAGAACGGGATCGCATTGGACAACAGGTATGTTGTACCACACAACAGACATTTATTGCTTAAGTATAAGGCTCACATAAATGTGGAGTGGTGCAACCAGTCACGCTCAATCAAGTACCTGTTCAAGTACGTTAACAAGGGTCATGACAGAGTAACTGCAGAATTCTACAACACAACCGGTGATGAACAAAAGGGGAAAGCAATAGATGAGATCAATATGTACTACGATTGTAGGTACATATCACCATGTGAAGCAGTTTGGCGTTTGTTTGGTTTTGATATACAGCTTAGGGCGCCTTCAGTTGAAAGGTTAAGCTTTCACCTTCCAAATCAACAGAGCGTGATATTTTTAGATGACGATCCTGTCGAGAACATTGTAAATAGACCAACAATAGCACAAAGCATGTTCTTAGAATGGTTTGAAGCGAATAAAACTTTCCCAAATGCAAGAGAGCTAACTTATGTTGAAATGCCCACAAAATTCGTTTGGAAGAAAGACGTCCGAAAATGGCAACCAAGGAAAAAAGGTTTCTCAATTGGTCGGATATTTTATGTTCCCCCAGCTTCTGGCGAAATATTTTATTTGAGGTGTCTATTGAATAAAATATGTGGGCCTACAAGTTTTGAAGATATCAGGACTGTAAATGGTGTCATCTATGACTCATTTCGAGACGCGTGTTATGCAAGAGGTTTAGTTGATGACGATAACGAATATGTTGATGCAGTTGAAGAAGCCAGTCATTGGGCGTCAGCAGATCAACTGAGGAAACTATTTGTTACATTGCTAATGAGCAGTTGCATGGGTAAACCTGAGACCGTTTGGTATGCTGTGTGGCCACATTTGTCAAATGATGCACAATTCAATATCCGGAAACAATTGCACAATAGAGGTACTCATACATTCCACCACTACTTTTCGTTATATTGATATCACCATATAAAGTTAAAATTAAATCTAGGGATGTTAAATATTAAACTCTATATAACATTATGCAGATTTTGTGTTGAGCGATTCGCATAAAATGAACTTTGCTTTAGTGGAGATTGAAAAACTATTATCTATTCATGGAAAGAGTTTGAAGGACTATCCTGAAATGCCTGCTGCAAGCTGTACCGCATTACATATCGAACAGGTTTATACAGGAGGAATTAGCATACGACTGTTTGGAACAAGAGAAAGAGAACCTGGAGTTGGTAAGTCAATTAACTGATGAGAAAAAGGTCATATACAATGAGGTGTTAACCGATATTGATGGCCAGTTAGGAGGTTTATTCTTCGTTTACGGTTATGGAGGTACTGGAAAGACTTTTTTGTGGCGTGCATTGTCTTCCGCACTAAGGTCTAAAAGAGAGATAGTGCTAAATGTTGCATCCAGCGGTATAGCGTCGCTTTTATTACCAGGAGGAAGAACTGCACATTCTCGATTTGCCATACCGATTTCTGTTAATGAAGATTCAACCTACAATATAAGTCACGGCAGTCAGCTGGCCGAGCTTATTGTGCAAAGCAAGTTGATCATATGGGATGAAGCTCCAATGATGCACAAATTTTGTTTTGAAGCCCTAGATCGAACTATGAGAGATTTGATGCGTTTCCAAAATCCAAGGAGTTATGACATGACATTTGGTGGTAAAACAGTGGTGCTAGGTGGAGATTTCAGACAAATTTTACCAGTCATTCCGAAGGGTACTAGACAGGATATTGTCCGTGCTAGCATTAGCTCCTCATATCTATGGAAATCCTGCAAAGTATTGCGACTGACTAAGAATCTACGACTAAGAAGTGTACAGTCAGAAATCGAGTGTCGAGAGATCAACGACTTTGCAAAATGGATAGCTAATATAGGTGATGGAACGGTCGGTATTCATTTTGATGGTGGGTCAGATATTACAATTCCTGAACGTTTATTGCTCGAGTGTGAGGATGACCCTATTGCCACAATTGTTGATAGCACCTTCCCGAATTTTAGACAAGGGATGGTTGATCTGTCATACCTCAATGATAGTGCAATTTTGGCTCCAACATTGGATGTCGTAGATAGCATTAACGAATACATGAATGACCATAATCCGGCTGAGGGAAAGACATATTTGAGTTGTGATTCCGTTTGTAAATCAGATTCAAATGTTGATATGTTAGCAGATTTGCACACTCCAGAATTCTTGAATGGCCTTAGATGTTCTGGAGTACCAAATCATGCTTTGACATTGAAAGTTGGGTCACCTGTTATGCTTTTGAGAAATATTGATCACACACTAGGATTATGCAACGGTACAAGGTTGATTGTTACTAGGTTAGCTGATCACGTGTTGGAAGGCAAGATCATGTGCGGTACAAATGCTGGAACAAGAGTATTAATTCCTAGAATGTCACTGACACCGTCAGATTCGAGATTGCCTTTCAAATTTCAACGGAAACAATTCCCGTTGATGCTATCTTATGCCATGACAATTAATAAAAGTCAAGGACAAACACTTTCTAGAGTGGGATTGCTGTTGAAAAAACCTGTCTTTAACCATGGACAATTGTATGTAGCGGTTTCAAGAGTCAGTAGCCCAAGGGGTTTGAAAATTTTAATTTGTGATGAAAATGTACAATGTCTTAATACAACTAAAAACGTTGTGTACAATGAAGTATTCAACAATGTATAATATAATACACAATGTTTTATTCCTATTTTTCGTTCGGTTAGTAATTGTAGTTTTTTTTTTTTATTATTTTATACGGCTTTTCTATATAATATATACGTACCTTTGCATCGCAGTGGGTTCAACAAATACAGTGTAAAAGAATTAAATAATGTCCAATACAAATTAAAAATTCATTATTTCAAATATAGTAAGTACTAAAAATCTATATCTTTTCATATAAGTAGATTATACTTAATATAATACACAGTATATATATAGCCGTGCATCGCACGGGTGCAACTACTAGTGATTAGTAAATATTGGTTCATGAATTATATTGAATGTTGCTATTTGCACCACCCTTTGACCAAAAGTGGGTATAAAGCATCTTGAAATGGTAAAAAGGTGAAAAACTTTTAGTAATTAATAGGTGGTGTAAATAGCCAAATGGGGATACATTTTGCTATTTACACCACCTGGTCAAACTTGCAATTAATAAGTTAGTAATTTAAAATTTAATTAATTAACACATTAAAAAAAAAATCTAAACGTCACTTTCTCCCGTGAGAAGGCCTTCTCACCGGAGAACGCACTGCCTTCTCACCGGAGAAGACAACTGGACTGCCTTCTCCGGTGAGAAGGTGACCCAGGCAGCCCAGTGGGTCACCTTCTCACTGGAGAAGGCGACCCACTGGGTTGCCTTCTCACCGTAGAAGGCAGCCCAGTTGCCTTCTCACGGGAGAAGGTGGCGTTTAGTTTTTTTTTTTTTAGTTAATAATTTGATTATAAAAAATATATAAAATAAATATTAGTCTTTGACCACATTAAATGATGGTGGTGCAAATAGCAATTTTTAATGATCACCACCTATAAAGGAGTTTGACCTATTAAATAGGTGGTGCAAATAGTAAAAGAGATGGTGTGAATAGAATTTTTCATTATATTATGTAATTGTATTGTTTGACTAGTAATGATATATTATTATAATATTATAATAATTGAATAATGATGATGTATTATTTTGAAAAAATTACACCTGAAAAATTAATTTATGATATTGTATACATCAAACTGATCTCACTAACTCAGTTATTAGTACATTTTTAGATTATGATTTATTCATCCATGATATTTAATGGTCCCTGCAAGTGAAAGAATTTATGTTAAAAGTCAAAAATTCACTACAAATATAACTAAGTTAAATTGCATATATGTATTAGTACCTGTGTGTATAATGCCGTGAACCAGTTCCTCACCTGGTTGCCTGGCTCATTCTTGTTGAACGATGGGACATTTGTTGGTTTTGTTGATCTTGGTTACCACCTTGACTCGAGGACTCTCCCCTTTGAAGTTGCATTATTGGGTGGTCATAAGGCATTAGCTTGTACGTGGGACGAGGTTCATAATTTTGAGTTTGAGGATGGGCATGTTGATAAGATGACCCCTGTTGTGTCGAATCTTACACAGCACTCGTCGGGATCGTAAAACTCTAATACTGGAATGACGGTTCAGCGAATGTAATATTCTCATACTGTGTGTATGGTGAGTACTCCCCAAATTGGAAATACGATGATGGAATTTGACTGCTAGAGTGCTAGTAGTACCTTCACAACTATATGCAATATTAGTCGTTTGAAGGTCACGTTGCGAACTACTAGAAGGGCCTGCAAACGCACCAAAAGAGGGACTACTCATAACAGGCAATAGATTGTCCCTCCTAACCTCATTCTCCGCACCCTCATCCTCGTCCTCATCCCCAGCATCATCATCTTCTTATAAACCAACAAGTGCCCCTGTATTAGGCGGTTGCATTCCACGCACTCGTCTACGACCACGCCCCTCCCCCCCCCCCCCCCTGCCTTTGCCGTCTCTCACGACGACGACCCTAAATCGGTTCATCTGGGTTAGGGGCATTGTTTATAATCTCAGCAGGGAAAACATTCAAAAATGAGTACTGGGACGCCGCTACGAGCTGCTCGCATCTTTCGGTCATTTCACGAAAATTTTGCAGCACCTCATCGGGATTATCACTATCAAGGGAGCGTATCCCTCTAATACCCATCCTCTGCACCTCATAAATCTACGTCAAAAAAATATAAAACACCTCAAATTCATAACATAATAAGCATAAACGTATGAATTTAGAAAAAAACATATACTAACCAATGCAGCATACGCGTTGGACTGCTCTTGATAACCCTGATGTTGTATATGTGCAGGATTACTGATTTGGCGAAGGCCATATTGTTGGTACCAACATATGTATGCATCGCTCACAGTTCATTGACCAGTCGGCACTTGAAGTTCGATGAGATTCTGTTCCCAATCATACCGTGCGACTAAATAATTTAAGTGTTTGTTTGCCCAATCTAATACTTTCCTCGATGACCGTCCGTCGATAGTGTGCAAGTCAGCATGGTATTCCACTCGCGCAGGCACGTGTTGAAACCCACCAAATTGTCTACAGAAGCGGTCAGGAAAGTAATGCTCAACAATAAAGAAAAAGATGAGTGGTACTTTTGCGATCCAGATTTGTTGCCCATCCTTGCAATAACTGGGCAAAATGTGCATGACTGAATTGTAAGGAGTGAACAGGAACTACAATAATAAAATTTCAGAATTAGAAAATACATTTTCAAGAACTTTATATGATATCTTACGTTAAACTTAATGTTTAATAAGTTTATAAAAATTCGTACATGGCATTTCATAATATGAATCTCAGTAAATATCATAACACGTTCGATATTATGTCATGTACGAATTTGTAACATTTCAAAATAACATGTTATGTATAGATCAAAGAGGAAAAGTTCCGTGAGATATTATGGTCTGCCTGGGATTTATGAAATGTTATAAATTCGTACAAATTATGTTTGTAACAAGGATTTTTGAAATACTTGTTACATTTATGTTTGATTTTTTTTTTCACTCGGACGCCGATATTATATTACTGGAACGTCCATATTACACTAATAAACTCGTTCTAGTACATATTTTCGATTATAGTATACATAATAAGCTCGTAGCAACCGTAAACATAATATGCAGGTTGTGAAATTCTAACCTCATATAGTATAAAAAATATATAATATAACGTTTTACAAACTTACATTGCATTTGTGAGTACGATTTAATTGGTCTCAAAATGCTCGAACTGTGTGCACAGTCACATCGATAAATCCATGGGAACAAATCCATCTACGATTGCAATTAAATCATAAATTACATAAACTTTAATTCATCAAATATAAACTTATTAAAGTATTTAATAAAACTAACATCGCACCGAGTGGCAAATCACCCAACTGCTCCATACGTAACTCACCCTGTGGCCTTAACATTGGTAACCGCTCCCATGCCCACAATTGAAGAAGAACCATGCATCCGCATACTGTGGAATATTACAGTCAGCACCTCGGCACAACGCCCTGTACAAATACGCTAATACCGCTGAGCCCCAACTGTATTTACCGCATTCTTGAAAATTCCGGAGAAAAGGTAGCAAATACAATTTGATGTCGCTTTTGTTTGTCTCGGAAAATAAAAATCCTTCAAATAAATGTAAAATATAAATCTGCGTTGCAATTTGCACATCTACATCTGTGTTTGCAGGGGTTATTTCTCTTAGATAAGTCATATTTCCGGACATTATTTTATTCCCTTTAATTGCGTCAATGTCGGGAGTAAATCCTAACAAATTCGTACATTCCAACTGCCAAATCTGTGGGGGTTGCTTGTCAAACCCTGTGACAACTAGACCATTTACCTTCAATCCAAATAATACTTGGACGTCCTGAAGTGTTATGCCCACCTCGCCGAAGGGCATGTGAAATGCATGGACCTCGGGACGCCACCGCTCTAAAAGAGCATAAATTAGTGCATGGTCAACCGAAATATCTATAAGGTGAGAAACACCATAGAAACCCGACTGTCGCAAATACTCCACCATTCTTGGATCATGGTCAGGTATGTTGTCTCTTCTTACGCCATCATAACGAGAAATTCTGACTAAGGGGCCATAATCTTGAATATTCCACACGGCTTGAGATCTGTGATTCTTTTGTAATTGTAATATGGCTGGTCCAGTGGTCCCGGAAGAAATTGGGGTACTTCTATTGCCATATCTGTAAATATATAGTATAACACATATTTATATGGTTGTCTTTTCCAAAAAAAAAAAGGATGAACAGAAAGAGTTTTATTCGAAATTAAAGATGACACTGTAAATGCCATTTTTTTCATGAATATATCAACTAGCATAAAAAACTATCTCATAAGAAAAGCTACAGAAAGACGTTAAAATGAGAAAAACATACCTATTTGATGTATTTTGTTGGTTTGGTGGAAGTTAAAATAAGAAGACAAAAAATTCAAAGTTGGTATTTGTGAAGCTTAATATGATGAAAGTAGGCAATTATCTGATATGAAACTTGCATATATACAAGGAGCTGGAGATTAATGTTGTGGTGGGAGAAAATAATTAAATTTGATGGTTGATAGATATTTAATGCATTGGAAAGTGTTAAAAAATTAATGCATTAGAATCTCTGATGCATCACAAGTCTATGCCATCTGACATAATTGTTGTTTGTGTTCAACCTGTTGAGTTATCAATTCGTACAGTAATTCAATTAATTGTTGTATTGTGCAGTGTAAAAGTTTAGAAATCTCCTCATACTTGATCATTTTTAAGTAGCGGGTTTGTTTTTATGTGTTTTTTATTTTTATTTTTTTAAGAAATCCTACATAAAAAGGATTTCAGAAATCCTTTTTATGTAAAGTTACATAAAAAGGATTTCAAAAATTCTTTTTATGTATCCTTTTTTTATGTTATCACATCTGTGCTTGTTTTTATAGTTATTTTGAATCATCTCAGTAATTAAGTTCTTTAATTTTGCTTATTTAATACATGTTTTCCTTGCTATTCTCATTAGGATATGGTTTTACACTCGTTTTGAATGTTTTACGGTGTTTGTTAGTGTTTTTAAACCATTTTAGGTCAAAGATATGAGCAAGGGGAATTCAAAGATGAGTTAGGAGCAATTTTGGACAAATTCAGAGTTCAAAAGACTTGACGCATCGAAAATTTCCAAAAAGATTTTCAATCGAGACCAGGTCTCGACGCGTCGAGAAGGATGCGACATTAATTAGCACAGCGCGAAATTACGAATGAAGCAGCGCAATTATATTCCAAATTCTAAAGGGCTGCGTCATCATTCCAAATTGGAAAGGCACAATTTCAAAAATATATAATTGGCATATTCATCATATAATATGACGGCAATTTCCTAATAATAATTTAGGAAAATTCTAATTCCGCCCACCTTTGTACTTACTATAAAATCCCACCTTCCTCAACCCTAATGAAGACAAGTAGTTTAGTTTAGAGTAAATAATTGGAATAGATAATTTACAATTCATAGTTTAGAATTCAGAGATTCTTGGAGCCAAGAAGGAGAGAAATCAAGAGCCACAAGTTGTCTTGGAAAGCAAGAAAAAGACTAGGGAGATTTGAAAAAATCGTTGGTTAATTCTTGTACTCTTTTGATGATTTGTAATTCTTTATTTATATTTGCTATGTATAATTTAGCCATGCTTGGCTAAATTCTTTAAAGATTCTTGGGTAAAAGAGTTTATGAACCTATGTGCATAGTTCGTTAATTTCCTAATATATTTATGTTTGGTTTTATGATTTGTGTTGCAATCTTTGTTTTAATATGTTGTTGTTGGTAATTAAAGGCCTAAATTACTAGCTTCATAGTCATGTTTGTGTCACCAATGGGAATTGGGGCATAAATTAGGGCACACACGATTGCACTTAATGGTTGGACCTTGGAAAAGTGCAACTTATTGGGGAAATCTTATTCTAGATTGTTGCGCATCTGGAGATGATAATAATTGGGAATAATTGAATGCTGATCTTCGATCTTATCGGCGTGGGGACATACTTAAAAATGACTTTAGAATTGTCAATAACAAAATATCAAACATCTATAATATGGTTCAAATAATACATTATAAATTTTAATACAATATTTATAATAGACTATAAGATAGTTAAGGGCGGAGCCAAAACTATACTTGGGTAGGGTGAAATTTTAATTTCAAATGTTATAAAAATATTTATGGCAAAATATAAAACATAATTGATTAGATAAAATAGTTTGAATAGAAAAGATATTATATTTATAAATACTTTAATTTTAATTTTCTTTTAATTAGATCAAGTTTAAAATTTTCTAAATTAATTTGAATACGATGAACTATAATATAAATTTGTTGACTACATTAACTAAATGATTCACAAAAAAAAAGTAGATTTAAAAAATTATTTAATTTATTGAAGGGTGAGAAGAGCTAAAATAAAGAAAAGAAGCTAAAATATACACACACACAAAATAAAATTAAAAAAAATACATTTAATTTAGTTGAGGATGAGTGATATTCCTATGAGGGCTTCCTTATTATTTAGTTCTCTCCAT